TCCCGCTTTGAGCTAATGGTGTCTTTCTAGCAAGGTTGCAAAGACCCCCCCCCCCCCTCAGAACATACAAGATGTGAGAATTCCTTGTTGTCCTTTACTCTGCACTGGTGAGAATACACATATGTGCAGTTCTGGGCACCACCTTTCCAGAAGTTATTTGCCATGTTGGAGAGGGTTTGGACAAGGGTGACAAAGATGGTAACAGGGACCTGAGGACATGCCCTGTGAGGAAGGATTGCGGCTACCTTGACGTCAGCTGAATATCAGGAATATCAGCGGTGGAGCCTTGACCTACGGAGGTTGTGGATTCTCCATTTCTGGAGATTTCCAAGAAGAGGTTGGACAGCCCTTTCTGAGGACGGTTCAGTGGGTTTTCTGCACAGGCAGAAGATTGGACTAGATGGTCTTTGTAGCCCCTTCCTACTCCACAGTTCTACAATTCAGTTACTCGCTTGGAACAGAAGTGTGCAAAAGGGTGATGTGGGCATAAATTATCACCTTGTCAGCCCAAGTGCCGACACTCCCAAAAAATAGCTTAGCAGTTCAAAGGGCTGCTGGAATAATTTTGCACAGCTTCCTAGCAGGTCCTCTGCGATCTCTTTCAGGCTGCCGGTGATTGGTTGCTATTTCTGGCAACCTCCCTGGCAGCAGGAAGAGAAGCTGAGGGTGGGAGGCAGGGAAGCCCCTCATGAATGCCACACTCACACCACCCGCCAGTCCTGGCTCACTCCCAGTGCAGCACGATCACGGCCGCCACGGGGTCATCCAAAAATGGTAGCTAAAGTCCTGGGAGCTTCTAGGCAATGGAAGAGGGTTAGTAGAATCCTAGAGTCAAAAGAGGCCATTTAGATCATCAAACCCAACCCCTGCTCAGTATAAAAATCCAAATATTTATTTATTTATTTATTTATCAAATTTGTTACCACCCATCTCGTGAAACGACTCTGGGCGGTTTACAACAAGATAAAAATGCACTAAAACACAACATAAAAACAATCCTAAAAATAAATAGGTTCCAAGAAGGTGGAAAATTGGGAAGTAATTCCAGGGAGCATCTTCAGGGGTCTAACCACTCCCAGGGGTGGGTAGAGCCCGTATCACCCCGTGCCCACTGACGGAGCCAGGTCTTTCAACCTTTCTGGAAAGCCGGGAGGGTAGGGCCCCACTGCGCCTCTGGGGGGAGAATATTCCAAAGGGCTCTCTTCCTGGGCCCCGCCAGCCGATATTCCCTCGCTGGCGGGATCCACAACATGCCTTCTCTGGTTGACTGGGTGGGACGGGTTAAATGCAGTATAAATTACGTTTTAATTGAATCAATATTTAAAATATAAATAAAGAATCCCCAGCAGGCAAATGTCTTGCTTCTGCTTGCACACACGCAGTGAAGGAGAGTCTACTACAGTACTTGGTTGCACTATTGAATTGGCCTATTGAAGTTTTTCCCCCAAAATTCCTTCTGGACACTTCATAATTCTTCCTGTAATGAGAAAGAACAGGTTTTGCCCATCCTCTGGGTGGCAAGAACAGGGCACTGCAGCCATGTTCCTGTTGCACAGGATGTAATGCCAGGTTGTTTTTAGGGCAACAACTAGTAGATTCTCTGCCCGCCTTTCCTTTCCCTGCCAGCATCATCTACCAGGAGGAAAATCAACCACCAACTTCTCACCTGAATGTGTGGTGGGATGAGGTTAGCGGTTTGAGCCATCGTTTTTATTACTCACTTGCTTTTACCTTACTTTTGATAAATTTGCTGCATGTTTATCATGGTGAGCAGGAAGACCGCCAGCGAGTGGATCACCTTCTCAGCCAGATCTTGCTGCAGCCGGAAGGGGTTGGGGAGAAGCTCATGGGGTGGAGGTCCTGCGCTCCGCCTCACTGTCCCTGAGCTGGACGTTTCTGCCAAGTGACCGGGACTACCCAAGCTCATTAAACTTAAGGCTGCCCAGATTTTCTTCCTCTCTCTCTCTCTCTCTCTCCCAGATTGGATCTCCTGCTGTCAAATAATGGCATCAAAATGGGAGAGTTTGGATTTGAGGTTTGGAGAGTCTGGGCACCTACAGTCTTAAGAAGTAACTTTTCAAGATCAAAGTTGGTATTTTGTTGTGTAATACACAAATGAATTACACAATCTGAGTACTTTGGTTCCTCCACACCGGCTGAGAGAATCTGGCTTCTCTGCTTACACAAAGCCCTGGGACTTTGCTGCCTGCAATTTCATGCCAACGCCATGCAGCTGCCAGGAGTGCTGAGCTGCAGGGCAGGGCCTGGTCTCAAGGCGCTTGCGGCTCGAACTGACGGGACCTGCTTTTCATCAGGGGAGCAGGCAAGCCCTGTGCATCTCCTCTCTTCCAGGGCTGGCGGGCTGGGAGAAGGCAGCGCCTCTGTGCGTGGCGAGTTCCCACAGCCAGCCCAGCTGGAAACAGGAAGCCACTGGAAGAGCTGCCCTTCTCTTTCCTGGAGCTGAAATTGCACCCTGCGTTTAAACGTTCTGTCCATAGGAGTATCAACCACTCAATATTCCTAGGGCTATTTTTAAAGAACGATATGATTTCCAGCTCCATGAAGAAGAGAAGTGCCTCAATCAAATCCTTGTGCATGATGGGGAGAAGGCTGCCACATACAACTCCCCCTTTTTGGGCACCCGTGGGAATATTGGTCTCCCATATCTGAAGAAAATAAGAGGAAATAGGCTGTACAAGTGAGATTCTGTTGTTGTTGTTTTTGCAGTCACCACGAAAGTGCACAGTCCAGAAGATCACTGAAAGCTTCTCCTCTGCACCTGAGAAGGTCCACGGAGGAGGCCTTTTGCCAGCATTCAAAGCCAAACACTTCCGTGCTTCCACACCTTAGGCTGACTTTACACTCCCTCAGCAGCTGACTGGGAGGAAAACCGATGTGAGGTCAGGAGGACGTGGCCATGAAAAGCAGGACAGCTGGATGAGCTCCAGCAGGAGGTAGAGCCAGAGAACCACAGCCAGGGTTGCCCTTTGGCTCCCCACGATGGAGAGAGAGAGCTCAGCCATGGTCCAAAGCCACACGCACACCGAGGGCGCATTTCTCTCTGGGTTTAAAATCCGGCCCTAAAAGAGTGTTTGATTTAAATCACAGACTGGATAAAGAAGAAGAAACTGACACCTAATTCAGAATAGACAATATTACTCCTGGACAATCAGAAGGTAAAACCAGAATATGTCAACTGCCTTGACTGCTGTTTTGAAGGTTATTAATCAAATAAGCAAACGAACAAACAGATAAATGCATGCCTCCCTTCCCTCCTTCCATAATGGAGGTTCCCTTGACCCAGCCTGCAGCCTGTCTCCAAGCTCCGATTCCTAGAAGGCACACAGGCCATTCTGGTGATTCACAGCAAAATTCAGCAGTGAACGACGAGGAGAAATATTCCTTTCTTCCTAACACACAGACACACACGCTATCCAGAGTATGCCCAAGGCCTGTCTTAGTCAAGGGAAAGGCCCCACCCAGGAGGGAAGTCAGATGTGATAATGCTGGGCATACATGCACCAGAAACAGCTGCAGTTCACAATAAATTGCTGTTGCTACAAGAACTGCAGCTGACCTCCCCCCCACTACCTTTCCCCTTCGTCCCCCACACAGGAAGAGGGGGACTGCCCTGCAGAGTTGAGTATACTGCTACACACAGACACAGACACAGACGCACACAACGGGCATAAAAAGACCTTGCAGGGCAGAAGCTACAATTACGGGGTCTCTGTTCTTTCTTTTGCAACAACAATAACGAACTTCAGAAGAATTGCCAGCGTTTACAAGTAGAATCTGAGTCGGAACTTAGAAACGCTGCCATTGCTCTTTCTTCTGTTTCTGCTTAGACAGATATCTGCCAATCACAGTTACACTGAAAACCCACATTTCTTAATTTCTGAGGGGGGTAGCAAATGTAGACAACAAAGGAGTTTATGGAGCCCACATCTATCTCCATAATCTCTATTGCTACCAGACTCACCCTGTACACATCTGGTTCTGCACTTCTGCAGACAGCATGAGTGCTCATTATGGGTGGCCCTCTTCATTCAGTGGCTGAAAACATTAAAAATCAGGAACAAGCCTCCATGGCTTGCATTCCACCTCTCCTTCTAGAAAAGCTGGCAGTCTGCGAATGTCTGTCTCTGCCTGTTTAAAACCCTTTCTCTCCTGGAGGGCCGCGTAGCATCTTTCTCTTGATTTTTAATTTTGTGTGCCAGCATTCTAAAAACCAGCCTGCTTTATTTATGCATGGTTTCCTCTAGAAAGCAAGGAAGCCCAGTGGCTGTTTGCTGCTCATCTCATGGGCAGGAAGAACTAAGGGCAACCTCTGTTAAATAACTGGTCTGCATTTGGAGGCCCAGCTGTTCCCTGGCTATTGTGTTCAGCTCCAGGCACCGGCCTAAGACACAGACGAACAAAATGGAGCTAGTCAGAGGAGGGCTGCCAAGACGCAAGGGGCCTGGAGAACAAGCCTAAAGGATTGGGGTATGTTCACTCACAGAAGAGGGGATTTATTTATTGGAATCTAGTCACCTCTCAGACTCCAAGCAGTCTAAGAATGCAAATCAATGTGTATAAGAAAATACGGTACAAGGAATAACTCATCCCAGTGTCAGTGGCTCCACCGTCCACCCCAAAGGCCCAGTAGAAGAGCCAGAAGGCCATCAGCGGAGAGGTCATCCTCACCTTGGGCAGGTGGCTCCACGGGAGGGAGCCCTCTACTGCAAGCGCCTGCTGTCGGCCTCCTCCCATCACCTGTCCTGTCGGGGGGACCCTTAGCAGGTCCCTTCTGGCCGTCTGGGTCAGGCAGGCAGAATTTACCTGGGAAAGGCAGCTACCCCAGTCCCTGGAGGGCACCTATAGGGCTTTAAGGACCAGTCTCTCGGAGGGCAGAAGCACAACCAGTGGGTTGGAAGCGCAGGGAAGTGGGTTAGAGGGCTGGGACGGGGAAATGTCCGGAGAGTAAAAACTATCAGCCCGTGAAACAGGCTGGCTCGCTCCCCTTGGTCTGGAGTCTTCAGACAAAGGCCAGATAGCCGTCCGCCCAAAATGTTTTAAGGGACCTTGCCCTGAGCAGGAGGTTGGACTAGGTGACTTCTGCGGACACACCCGCCCCCCTGTGTGCCCCGCCGCTGCGCTGTGCTGCGCTGCGCTGATAGGACACTACAACATACATTCCTTAGGGCAGTGTTGTCCAAACTTGGCCACTTTAAGATGAGTGGACTTCAACTCCCAGAATTCTGGCTGGCTGGGGAATTCTGAGAGTTGAAGTCCACTCATCTTAAAGTGGCCAAGTTTGGACAACACTGCCTTAGGGGGTGACGGCTTCTTTCTTGCCTTTTCG